CTGTTTTAGGTCATTCCATTTTGCCGATTTATAGTGCCACATTTTACGAGGAAGTGGTTGTAGGCTTGGTGGGATGAGCATTTCGCACTTTGTTATTATAAGTTTATGATCGGACGAACCAAGTGGAGCATCTACTTGAATTGTGTACGAGTCAGGATTGGTGGTTAGGACCAAGTCTAAAAGCGCTGCAAATTCGCCCCTTTCTGAGATACGGGTAGGTTCATCGACAAGCTGCGTTAGACCACAACTTATGGCAAAAGCTTCTGCTTCTCTGCCTTCGTTATCTGTTTTGTTGTGGTGTTTCAGCCAGGGTATATTGTGGACGTTGAAATCGCCTAAAAAGACAATTTCCGCCTGTGGATAGTTTGACTGTATACTATCACAGCTTTCGGATAATGTCGCGAAAAAGTTTTGGTAATCGGTGTTACTTGGCGGTCGGTAGAGGCAGCAGATAAACTTGGTCGATGACTTTGAGGTGAATTTTAGCCATATGATATCAAGGTTCGCTGGTTCTAGCTTCTCCTCTCGATGACATGAAAGGTCATTTTTAATGTACACACAGATCCCAAAATTATGTCGAAATCGGTGGTGTAGGTCATAGCCGGTATAAAGATAGTTCACAATAGGTGTTGCAGAACTGATTTTAGTTTCAGTGAGAACAAGGATGTCAGGTCTTTGTTCTTCAAGATGTTGGTGAACTGAATTCATATTTGTACTTATTCCTCTTATATTGCTAAAATCAATTCTGAGTTGAGTTTTTGATCTTCTCTTTATATCTTTGCATGAAGGACCCCCAGGATCACCCGACGCCCGGAGATCCGAGTGGTCGGGTTTTTTACACAAATAGTTAAATTATTCATTGAATTATTGTTTTTGGCCCTTTAGTACAATAAATTATGTATTTTTTGTGATTCATATTAATAAAATAAAAAATATATATTTATACAAACAAACACCACCAGCACCACTTGGCGGTAAGATTGCGGTGTTGCCTTTTTAACTTCATGGCTTGTTAAATGTAGGGGGCTGTGGCTGTGGGCTCTGATAGTCTTTTTATTTGTTGCTGTATTTTGTTGCTTTAATGGGAATTGATGGAAATTGAATTTTAATTTGACAATTCAATTTTAGCATGGGATGACGCCGTCATTTTTACATTTTGACAGTACTGAGTACTCCTTCTCCATGGTATTTTTTTTTTTGAAATACATCATTTATTAAGCAAACAATCCATAACAATCATAGTCAGATAGAAACATATTGTAACGTTTTCAATTTCTTGGCTAATAAGCTACCTTGTTTTGCCATACTGGATATGATTCCATATAGAGCTACAATGAAATAAATGAATAAACAACTATCTTTTTTGTGCCCAGATTTTGTTACCTTGAGTGCTGCCTTCTACTAGAAGTTTTTTTGGTTCAGGTTTGCAAGTTTGGTTAATTGATCTGGGAAGGTTTGATTCAGTACGGCAGGGCCCGCTGTTATTGATTAGAATCTTAGGAAAAGGATTTAGTACCATCACCATCTCTGTTTTCAAATCCAATCAATAATCTGAGGTTATGATAATAATTGTTGTTTTTTTGTACTCTTTGACTTTTAATTTCCATCATGTCATTGAACAGCTGTTTTGTCTAGGCGTTTTCTTTAGACCTGTCATTCACCAGTCATTTTTTACACAACCGATTCTCAGTTCGTACTTTTGGGGTGAAACTGAACACGTCCTTTTCTATAATTTTCTTCAATGTCAAAATTAGAAGTTTGACAGATGAAAGTCTTCTTCCGAAATCTAAATTCTAACTGAAGAATCTGCCCTTTTGATCTGCGACCTCACGCTGAGTAGTCGTCCGGTCTCGGGCCTCGGCCCTAATTGTTTTTGGGGCGAGACTTTTTGGAATTTTGTGCCAGGGAGCTCAAGTTTTAGACTAATTTCTTACTGATAATTGTCTAGAGTGGTCCCTTGGTCATTTTTGGATTCTGTTTCGATAAGTTTGAGATTTTCTTCAAGAAATATTGGCCTACAGCACGTGTTCCATTTTTTTAATAGGACTGTTCCGAGCAGCATTTGGAAGTTTAAGACTTCACCTTTGGTCTAGAGTATCCCTCAATTTGAGGTAAGATTATTTCTAATATTTGGGGCTCGATTTGTTTTTTTATACGAACATCGTTATAGGGTCCTAGTCTCAGGCTATAGTTGGACAATCCTACTCCTAGTATCAGGCTATAGTTGGACAATCCTACTCTCAGGCTATAGTTGGACAATCCTACTCCTAGTCTCAGGCTATAGTTGGACAATCCTACTCTCAGGCTATAGTTGGACAATCCTAGTCTCAGGCTATAGTTGGACAATCCTACTCTTAGGACAATCCTAGTGCTAGGCTGTAGCTGGAAAGTCTTAGGCTATAGTTGGACAGCTCCTAGAAAGAAATTCTAGACTAGATCTAGATTGCCCTAAGTTGGCTTTGGTAGCCTCCCTTCAGCTACCCTCTTGGTAGCACTCTGGTGAAACCACATTGAGTTCTACGTAAAACAGATACCACGTGGATAGGACTCATGACTATGACTCACTTAGCATACCATAGTCTATCTACAGTGAGACCGAACCTGTAGATAATATCCCTTCAAAACTTCTGGATTTACACACACCTTTGAAGATAATCAACACTTGTACACATGTAAGTTGCACTTTTTACTATTTAGGCAAATCTTATATAAATCACTTGATACTGATTTACGTTCGGTAAGTGCCCCTTAAATAAAATTCTAGAATTTTACCCTGAGGTTGCCCTAACAATAATTTTCACCTTTCTGGTGTTGAATTTGCCTCTTGGTAGAGTGTAACTGATATTGTGGTTCTAAACTTTCACAAGTGTAAACAGACAGTTAAAACTGTTTATTTAAAAATCAATATTTTTATACATTATTTACATTCTTATTTTTTTTTTATAATCAAATATTTATAAATTGGTACAAGCATTATTCTTAACACATTTTTAATAACCTCCTGGCTATCCCTATATTTTGTTATTATTTTTAATAAAGAAGCCAGATACATTATTGTACCTAATTAGTTGTTTTAATGATAAGCTCTCCAATTGCACAGGTTTTGTTTAAACGTCATTAGGTTATCTTCCTAGTTAAGTCACAATTAACTTGGTGGCGCCCAAAGGTAAGATGTATACAAGGAACCCATAGACCCATGGCCGCCGAACTGATGCTGACTAGCCGTATGCAGTATAATTTGGCAATTGCCAAAACAAGTACGTTATAATATAACAATAATACTAACTTATGTGTAGGTTGGCGGCTTAACTAAATGAACTGAACTCCTAGACAATGCATTTGTAGCATTGGTAACGGAGTTTGGTTTATATATATCACATTACAAAGGTTGCGTAGTTAATATATCTATCAATCATTGAATTTCAGCTTTAGCATTTTAATAAATTTGTGATATTGGAATTCTTGCTTTATTTCAATAGACAGATTGTTGAATACCTGTGAGGCTTTATCAATAGGGTTTCTCAACGCCTTATTGGATCTAGCACTATTTAATCTGATGTTGTTGTGCCTTAAGTGATATGTGTGTATGTCTTTTGAATAAACTATTGTGTAATTTGATTTTTGGAGGTTATTAATTATTTTAAAAATTAGTTTTGCTTGTTCTAACTCACGAATTTGGTCAATTGACTGTATTTTCAACAATTTATATATCTCATTGGTGTGCATAATATGATAGTATGATGGATAGTCTCGGATAGTTGGTTTCTTGCGCAATTATAACTAGGTCAAAGTGAGGAAATTGCTCTTCTCTTTTTGGTTCATATTCAGGGAAATATCCTTGCCGGCATCACGTTCCTTGCCATGTCATTTTCCGAAATTCGTGGCAAATTTCTTATTATATTCGCAAGATTTGAGACTTGGCAAACGTTTTTTTGGGTGTGCGAATTCCTGTCTGGTTTTGGAGCGGTATCGACTTTTGAGAGGGTACAATCACTTTTGATCTGACCATCTTTACCAGTTAACTGACTAGTTTTTGGATTCGCGGTCATCTGGACCACCTTTATTGGATTTGGTCCAAGAACTGAAGAAAATTCAACTCCTTATGCTTACCTTTGCTTTGAGTTGCTTATTGGCTTGGTTTGGTGCATTTTTCGGGAGTTTGAAGACCACTTTGTGGGATTTTTACGGTTGACACTGGGTGAGTATCCTACCACGCCTCGTGCTTTAATTAGTTTTTCGTTTCTCTAAGTCTGTTTATTACTTTATTTCTAGTTGAAGGTTGCAAATATCTGATCCTAGGGGTAGCGCATATAGCCTAACCTACCCAAAACGTTTTGTTTCCTTTGGTTCGAGATTTTTTTCCTCTATGTGTGTCCTCTAGAAAGCCTATATGTATGTATGAGTTCTCCAGTAATTTAGGAATTTTGCCTTTATTGAACCAGGGCTAGCACACCTGGTTTAAAAGTTATAAGCATTTGAAATGGGTCACTTTTGGGTGGGACACCCTGTATAATGAAGTATGAACAGATTCAACTTCTTTGATATCCATGTGGAAGCAAGTGGTGAAGGTAGTCAGGAGTTTAGAAGAGTATTTCCTAAAGTCATATGTCTTGCATTACGATAGGTTTTTTTTTGGAAAGGAACAAATTTTTCTCCCATTTCTATAGTTGTATATGGACCTTTATGCACAGTAGAATTATTTGAAAATAGGTAATTAGTTGATAACTGAGAAATGAAAAAGGAAAAGGTATTCACTGTAGGTATTACCTTTTAAAATTAAACATTTGTAATGTAATATTTAGAAAAAGGTGTCTATTTTAGGAACACCCTTGTGTTTAATATTATACTTTTAGATTCTACTCAAATTTATTCTAAGATCATCTCATTCTATGTCCCATAGCTTGATTCAATTTCCAAAATACTGTTAGAAATTTATAATTTTGCAAAAAATAGTTAACTGTGTGCATAACTGTACTGTAGATATTGCTTACCCTTAGCAGTCAGTGCCTTGATTTTGGCGTTCTCAAGCTCTGGACCATATTCTTTGCCCAAGGTGTGTTTTTCTCTAAAGTATCTATTTTATCTATAGTATCATCCACCTGATTATCCACATTTAAATTCTCCCTGCTTTTATCAACTAAAAATTAGACTATAATCATCAACAAAAACCAAACAGTTACAATTTATTTTTAATAAATGAAGTGGAAATAAAGTTAGCTAGTGCCTAGTTAAATACTTGTCTGAGAGGATATTATTACTCACCATCTATAGTACCCTATAATACCACCAAAACTTCATCACTTGCTATATCAATTTCTCTTTCAATATATTTGACCCTGACTCAAAGATCAGTCATATCAGATTCATCATCATTGATTTCTACTAAAAAAGTATCTATAATTTAGGGCTTCGCAAGACCACAAGACTAGTCTTGGTCTTGGTAATAAAATAAAGAATTAATTTAGATGCTCCATTTATGTAACTATAAGCAATTTAATATTTTTATATTTATTTATATATCGAATTATGTATATTTTAAATACATACCATCTAGCTCGTTATTTTGTGCATCACCCCCAAATTCTGAATTCAAACCTTCTACCCTAACGCCCAAAATGTCTCGTATCTCGACATCAATCTCAGACAGAATTTCTGATTTTGGGGTGCCCGTGCCAGTGCCCATTACATAGGTTTTTGACTCCCTTAGCTTTTTGCATGTTTTCTTTTTCAAGTTTTCATACTTTTTTCTCAGGTTAACTGAAACCCTATATACTTCCCCACTTTGTGAATTGAATCTGGAGGTTATTTCTCTCCAGCACTCCTGTTTTTTTTTATTGAAATTTGAATCAGTTTGCTTATTTTCCAACACATGCTTGTAGGCTTTAACCAGGCCCATCAAAATGACCTCTTCTTTGTTGGTGAAATTGGGGGCTCTCTTTGCCATTTTTTTTTCTCCTTTATCATCCATATCCTTGAATAAAATGTGTCATATATGAGAGAAATCAATTTCAAATAAATAATTTTACTTACGAATGTAGAAACGTTGAAATTATCATAAGCCACACTACAAAAAATGCACACAAAAAAGCGAAATCCTAGGTATGCTAGGAGGTAGGAGGAGGAGGGAGTATGAGGACAGGACTATGAGGAGAAATAAAAAGAAATGGCTCTGTACTTTGAGGTTAGCCTGACAATATGTTTTCGTTTTATGTCATTCTGGCAATAGACAAATTACACTGTTACCAGATCGATTAGTGGATAAACGCCACTCAACTGAACAAGGTTTAACTTTTTTTGTACAACGGATCATGCATCCTGAGCCAGGTTCAACAGCTGAACCAGACTTAACAGAACTAGGGCTTAAACTGCGCTTGTACAACTGGGCCTAAATCATCCTGTTCAAGCCTATGCTGTCGGGCTAAAGAGTATCAGTAGTATCGATAATTACTCAGGTTTTATTCTGATTTCTTGGTGTAGCGGTCTGGCAGTGATTGAAACTCTTTTTTTACAAACGCCGAGCTTTCGGAAAATTTATTTTCTTTTTCAAGGCTACAATACAGACCATGATGTTATAAAATTTTTGAAATATTCCTTGGAATATTACTAAACTTACGTGCAAAGTCAGTTCCAAGTAGGCAAATCCTTGGAAATACAAACTTCCTTCCAAAAATTACCAATAAAATATATAAAATTTATAGGGTAAATATGGTGTAAAAATTAGTAAGATACTTTGACAAACCGAATGATGATAGAGCTTGTTTTTTGTTTGTTTAGGTACCTTCAAAGATTTTAATAGGTGAATCTTAATTGTTAAATTTATAAAATAGAATTATCGGAATTAATTTGAGATATTTGTTTCATTGATTGGATTTTTTATGAAATGAATAATGTATTAACATATTATGTTTAAATCTTCCATATCTTTTCTTTTGTTTAAAGAATTATCTTTCAGATAAATCTGAATCATCTCAAAAAAATTTCTTCTGTTATTATTAGTTTCTTTATCTAGTAATTTCACATCAATGAAATCTATGTTATGATCCGTGTCCATGAAATGTTCAGATGAAGTACAAGTTCTTTTTTGTAATCTACAATCACTGTTATGTCTAGTAATTCTATCTGTTAAGACATTGGAAGTTTATCCTATATAGGATTTTTCACAATCAAGACACTTAATAGGTATACTATAAACTACTCTTGAAGCTTTCAATACCTCGTCCCTATCCTTTAACTTGAAAAAAATTTTTCCTATCTTTAAAATATGCTTGTGTAAGAATTTTTCAATAAAATTTTCTGGATAAGAATTTTCTTTCAAAATTTTATGTATTTTTAATAATTTTTTTTTGTATTGAATAGGGATGTGATATTTTATTAATTTTGTTTCGTGGGCAGTTAATTAAGTTAATTTTCATTTTATATCTATGGTTTGAATAGTAATTCATGTAACTACCAGAATAGGAAGGTTTTGTGTACCAATCCAACCAAATGTAGTTGTTATCAACTCTTATCGGTTTGGTGTCTAGGAATGGAACACTAGTTTCCTTTTTACATGTGATGATTATATGAATTGAATATGTTGGAAATAGTGTCAATTCAGTTTTTTGGAACTGCAGAACAAGATCATCAGCATACTTTTTTGAAAACAGTATGTTGATAATCTTGGTGACACTCACTTAATTTCAATTATTTTAAAAACAAAAATAATTCTCAAAAAATATTCGATATTTTTAAGTTACTCTCTATTTCTTTATGGTGAGGATATAAATTGGGAGACACATACTCCCTTCCACCTTTAAGTTCAAAAAACTACTTTCTGCATCGAAAACTCTAAGAGCTTTTCTATTAGAGATTCTTCGAAAGTTCCTGAAAATTTTTCGAATTTTGGAGAACAACCAAAAAACAGATGATACAAATGAAGCCATATAGCTTCAGTATGTGGATAGGTACCCAGGGCTGGGACTCTGTAACGGATAGAGATATGTTCTCTATCTCTATTGATGTCTCCTCTCTATTGATTTTGACAAGAAAGAAAAAGACAGCAAGTGTCATAGCGATAGCGATAACGATCTCTATCCGTTACAGAGTTCCAGCCCAGAATGCTTTATTCCTGGACTTCTTGATACTGTGCTCGAGGGCTGTATTTAAGCTTTTACTAACTGAACCCCCGAGAAAAGGCGAAATCTGTTCCTGACCTAAAGCGAACTTTGTGCAATTTTATAAAAAATATTTTATTATGAGGTGCGAACAGAGCCTCAGTAGGGTTGAATTAAATTCGAGTTTTTTTTTTTTAAACGAGAGCTGTTTATTCACATCTTTAAAAGCTTGATTTTCTGCACCAAGCAGTTCCCGTTACTTGCCTCCTGTGGAAAAACATTCAAATTGAAACATTTACATACAGAAAAGGGGAAGACTAATTAATTCTAAGCCTTTCCGCTATTCGCCCAATCATCGAGAGTAGAAGGCACGCAACAATGTGCAAACTATGTCTTTGAGTAATACTGAAGCGCCACACTAAATTCTGATTAAATTCTAGGATTTTGGGCAAATCGATTAAACTAATAGATTTTGTTAGAGGAAATCTGTTCGGATTTCAAAAATTATCATAATTTATAGCTTCCAAGAAAATAATTTAAACATTAACACGCAAGTGTGAAGGCAACTTACTGCCTTCACACTTGCGTGTTAATGTTCTACTTGACTTGACTCACAGACAAGGAAAGCAACGCGTTTGTGTATTTCCCCAGCGCTGCAAATATCTGTATTATATCTATGAACTGTTCGATAAAAAGATTTCTTACTGGTAACACCGATGAAAGTATTCAACACAGATGAAATAAATTCTGGTGGTGAGAGAATTTGGACAAACATCACCATTGTTGTAAGAAACCGAGAATGAAAAGGAATTCGAAGTTGTATATTTTGAATAAAGTGAATCAAAATCCGTATTATATCGTCGGTCAACATTACTGACTTATGAAGATTTTTTCAAGAATTCATGAAACAGCCAATATGCGGATAACATGGATAGTTTCCAGGCTTTTATAGAGCCAACCACGCAATACTGATATCAAATTAGAATATTAATCAATGAGCTTATAATGATGGCTATAATTCGCGAAGATAATAAAGCTTAGGTACGGCAAAAGCCGAAGGCTAGTGTCGCAAATCATCTGAGTGAATAATAGCCATTATAAAGCAGAGGTGATGGGTTTAGGACAGACTCAAAATAAAACTAATTTTCTTTAAAAAATATTGCGGGCGTTTCGACTTTGTTTTTGGTGTTCTTGAAGCACTATTTTACCAGCAAAGGCACTTCACGTCTAAATATATAACACGACATGTTACAAATCTGAGAGAAAAACAACAAATGGCATTTTTTTATAGAGGAACTGAATATCATTTCGGGTCCTGGAATCATAATCTCTATTAGAACTCCTAAGGACTTTAGCTGTGAAATAGTCATTATTCGCGAGTAGAATAATTATTTTCCTACTTTATCCACGACTATTAAAGATTTTTGTCAACATTTTTATTGAAGAAATTATATTAATTTGACATGCTAATGCTGTCAATCTCTAGGCGCCAGGTTCCAGAGCCGTTATCGACAAGCTTGGTCGCAGAAGATCTCATAACCTGCGACATTGCAGATATAAAACAAAGGCGACGACCGCGTTAATTGCAATGAAATCAAACAACAGATGGATCAACCTAGATCATTTGACGCGTGTGAAAATGATAAAACCAATATTAGAGTCAGTTTGTTTGTCCGGCATTGCTAATATATCTCCGTCGCTTTGCGTAAGCGCCTAACTCGGCATTTACCGTTATCCTCTCGACATTTAAGTTACTTTTTGGACTTGTTTTGTTTTGTCATACCAATAACTTTGGGTTAGTTTGGAACACTACTCACAAAGGTTTGCCATTAGTTTGGGCCCTTTTTATCTTCTCTTGTGTCTGTGGATTGGTGGAGACACTTCTGGGACCCATTTCTTTGAATGCAGACGAGAACTTACATTTTTTCGTGGATATTCCACTCTGCTGTGTGCTGCAAATTGGAGTCCCTTACGATCTACCAAGACTATTGATGGAAATTCGCTAAATAAGTTGAATGACTTTGTTTAATTGTATGTCCAAAATATCCTCATGACTGATTCGCTCGGCTGACACTCACGGAAATTGACGTTGGAAAAAAGCGGTAAGTACCTGTAGATTTGGTGAAAATGGAGGGGAAACCTCACAAATTTCTACTGAACAGCGATGCGATAAGGGGGTTTTATATGCTTTAATAAATCTTGCAGTTAGACAGTGCAAGTCTAAGTACCCGAAAGATCCTTTCTGCAAGATTTCTTGCGCCGTCTTGCGGTTTGGTTTCACATGTGTTTTAAAATCTTTCAATTGCTTTCTTCTGCCAATATAAAGAAAAAAAATTATAGGAAACCAGTTGCTGCTAGTCTTTGCATCATTATTGGTGCCGCCACTATGTTACAAAAAACCATTGTATTCTCCTAGAATACGTCGATACCATTATTTTAAAAGAAGTAACTTTTATTGAAAGTTGACATGCCAAAAACTACCAAATTTTCCCCCAAAAATACTCTTGCAGAGTCTTGCACTTGCAGAAATATCACCGTCTTGCAGGTACTCTTGCAGCATGTAAAACCCCCTTTAGTCATTCAAGGATGAAGAATATGGGAAGCCCCCTTATACAGTTAAAACACTTTTGATTTCTGGAACCTCTGGATATACTAAAGAACTTACGACTAAAGGCGTTACTTTGAGCAGGAAACCTGAATTTGGCAGCAGAAGGATGGATACAGATCGACCCATGTCGCTGTGCAACTGACACCTCCAATACGAGTCACGACAGCTTATCATCCAAGTAAGACCCAAAAACTGAACGGATTTTTCACGCTCTAGTTCTGTATTTTGTCAGCGTAGGTCCAAGTCTAAACCTAATATAGTCCGACTGGTATGAAAGATCATAAAGTGTGTCTTTGAAAAATTTAGAAAAAATTTATGATTCATGAATCAGTCGCTAAGTTCTTCAACTGCTCTGTTGGCTGCTACCTTTATCAAGACTTGTTAATGTGTATGCATAAATACACGTACTTTCAAAATTTGGGCTTTGTTAGCTAAACGTTCAATACTGTGTTACGTAGAATTTTTTTATAATTGAGTTGAAATGGAGGCTTCATAGCTTCAATGTCATATTATTTTTCTTATCCTGATTCAGGATTCAGTCCCATTTAATTGCTTCTCAACGTTGCACCGTGTATAGATTTGTCAAAACATTTTTCTTCTCTTCAATTTTGGAACAAATCCGTTATATTGCAACCTGTGTGTTACTCATATTTAAGTTTACTAATGCTTTGCTTCTTGCAACCTCATTGTACATAAAAATTTGACCTGTTTTGAAAAAAACTTTCTTCATATTATGATGACTCCAGAATCATATTTTGTTTTTGTGCTGCAGATTCACTGCACATAAAATTTAGCTTGATCGTGCCATCGGCAAACTCGTTCCAATAGATTAGCAATTTGTAAGCCGACGCTAACATATTATGCGCATAGTTGGCAATTCTAACGAGATTCGTAATATCTTGTATTTCTTACATAACAATTCTATTGTAAGAATTTAAATTGCCCTAGGAAACTGTCTAAACTGTTGGATACTTGAACTTACACATACAGACACAGACAGGCAAAATTCAATTTTATCGCCCCGTATATCATAACCCTACGGGCCTATGAGAAATTTATGGCAAGCTTTATCCGGGAAAAACAGGCTATTAAAATCCACAAATCGCGTTAAAAAAACTTTATTAGTGTCGAAAATATGAAACTTTGAAATTTGTCTAAACATCTGTATATGTGAAAGTTCGAGTGTCCAGTATAGAAAAAGTGTTTCTAAATAATTCTACATCTTTTGTTTTGTGCGATATTATTATTTCAAGTATTTTCATTTTGAAATATACAGATAATTTTTATTAGTTAAACAAGTAATAGAAAAGAATCCTCGTCAGTTTGCCTCCTAAACCTTTTATTCTGAGAATTTAGACTATAATCCAAAAGAAATGATAAAAAAACAAATTGATAGGGAGTTTTCGTTGCTCATAAAATACGGTTCCGATAATCGCTTCTTCGAATTTCGTTTGACGTATATCGCAACCGCTAAATGGCGGTATTGTACGGACGGTAGACATACCCGTTAACGAAAAGAAAAGCATGCGCAGTACAAATAAAAATTATCATAACCTCATTTTAACCTAAGTCCGGTGACAAGCTGACCCATATGTTTTAATTTGGAATGAATTGGAATTCAACTAATTACGTGGTGTTACATCGCTTGAAGCAGTTAGGCATTACCAGGTGATTACCAAGTGCAGCACTTATGTGATGGCCCAGCTCACAGACGCTTGTGGTGGATTCGGTGATAAGATAAGGACGCCACCTAATTAAACACCATAGTGCACAACCAAATCTTCCAATAAATTAGAGAAGGAAACCAATCAAGAATTGCTAACTCTAACTGCATCTTGTGAATACCAACTAGGCCAATAATACGATCTGGAAGGAAACGGTATAACTAAACTTTGGTATATGTCAAGTGGATAACTGAACTATGTCGCTAATTAAAATGGCCCATATGGGATAACATATTATTTGTCGGTAAGGTAGGAATAATTATTGATGACTTCATAAATTACAAACTAGGTATCTTTGTGTAGAGCAGTGGTTCCCAAAGTGGACGATAACGCCCCCCCAGTGGGCGCTACAACCATCTCGGGGGACGGTAAAGAGCTCAGCTGATTTTGGGGGGCGGTAAGCATAAATTAGTGGGCGGTAGAAAATAAACGAACAGATCAGAATTTTTTTTTAAATTAAATAGTAAATGGCTTTTTACGGAAATTACTTTTCAATACTATAAAGATAAGGCTGATAGTCAGTCTATGTGTATGCCTTTCGGAGTCAATTTTGGCAACCTTCCAGTTATGAACGCAACCCGAGAATTCCGACGCAAATCCCGAAACCCGCAAGCACCTCACTAAGGGCGGGTTTTATAAAACTGCTTTGAGAGTTAACTTAAAGTTAACTTCGGGAATTACATGTAATTCAAAAAGTTAACTTCAAGTTAACTGTCAAAGCAGTTTTATAATACCCGCCCTTAGTCTGCTATGACTTAAAATGCGATACCGCTAATACACGCATTGATCAGCAGCAGCTGCATTAAAGTTATTGTATTTTACTTATAAATAACTTCAAAAAGCTCAAAAATAAGCCCCCCACATTCGAATTTTCTAACAAAATTGCAACCACTTTGAACTGTGCTGTTCTGATACCAAAGTTATAGGAAAAACAAGATGAGGGGCTAACTTGACGCTCAGCCGCCCCAAAATTTTGGAAATCCGATCAAACAAAAATGAATTTTTATGCAATCGGTATAAGTGTACTGAACTGTGCTGTATTAGGTTTTTCTCAAAATTTCCATATTCAGTCATTTTCCGACAAAATCCTACTGGGGGTGCTAACTTGACGCTCAGCTCTCCAAAATTTTGGAAATCAGATGAAACAAAAATGGATTCTTATGCAATTTGAAGTGTGCTGGACTGTGTTGTATCAGGTTTTTCTCGAATTTTCCATATTCGGTAATTTTCAAGCAAAATCCTATTGGGGGACTAATTTAACGCTCAGCCCCCCAAATTTTGGAAATAACATGAAACAAAAATGGACTCTTAGCTAACTTGACACTCAGCCCCCCCCGCCCCCCAAAAAAAAAATTGTAAATCAGATCAAACAAAAATGGATTCTTATGCAATCTGAAGTGTGCTGGACTGTGCTGTATCAGGTTTTTCTCAAAATTTCTATATTCGGTAATAT